TACTAAAGAGATGTACGGTCAGCAATTCGCAGAATTGCTGCAGACGACACGTGGTGAAACGTGGCAGTCGCCCAAAAATAGATCATACTAAATACAACTGTGGGAATTCCGAGGTACGAGGAATTCCTCGTGTGCTATTTTTGGAATAGGTCTTTTTTTAGATCACTTGTATCATTCATTTTTGTGTATCAAACGTGGTGAAACGTGGATGCGATGAAAAAAAAATGACTTAAAAAAAAAAAAAAAAAAAAAAAACACTTTCTCTTTATAAAAGAAGGTATGGATTTATTGATAAATAGGAACTAGAAAATATTTTATCAGTACTATTTATCATAAAGAAGAAATAATTAAAAAGATAATAAATATGTATAATGATTGAACATAATCAGAAAGATGATATAATTCTATTTCTTCTGTATATTTGATGAAATAATTTAAAAACGTAAATAATTTAATATAAAATATGATAATTTATATTTTAAATAAACAATAATTTAAATAAAATGAATAATAAATGAAATAATTAATTAATTTATGAAATATGAAAGTTAAATAATATTTTATTTATTGAAACATTGATTATTTATCATTTTTTATTTCATTTTGTTTAAATTACATTATTTCTCGTTATTATTCATTTCATTAATTTATTAATATTTATTTATTTGAAAGTACAACAAATAATCATTCTTTCTTATTTATTTTCTTTATTTATTTGTTATTATTCTTTAGATAAGGAAATCGAAGATGACATGTCAGAAACACCACATACATCCATAAAATATTCACATGATTCGATTTCCCCAGTTATCTTCTGGTTATGACATACCTTTGGTGTGATAATATATTCAAAACTAACTTGTTATTATTTATAGTGATTATTATTTATTAAGAATAATTATTAAGGATGCTTATTTATTAAAGAAGAAGCATATATAATTATTACTAATGTATGTACATTTGAATATAAGGATATTAACAAGGAATAGTGTTTCTTTAAGGGGTGTGGAAGATAAATGAGATGAGTCATAATCATTAGATTATGGATATACTCTCCTTAAAACAATAATATAAAGAATGAGAAATATTATATTACTCATTAAAATCAAAATAAAAGTCATGCAGCAACTTAAATGAAAAATAGTTTAATTCAATCATGATTGAAAAAACTTTATTTGAATAGAAATAAAGCATGAATAAGAAACTGATTTTCTCACTTCTCAACATAATGAAAAACATAAAGATGATATTAATCATAATTAATCCATTATATATTTTAATGTATTTTTGAATATGACATATTCTTGTTTCATTATTAATTTTATACAATTTATTATGTTGAAGTAATTAATAGAAATACATATTATATTTGTTTAATCAATACGTGAAATAGAATTTAAATAGTAAATAACATTAAAATATAATTCATTAATATAATATCAGTATTTCTCAGTTGAGTAGAACATAAAATACACAATGACTATTATATTTAGAATGATTTAATAATAAAATATCATATTATCATCACATTCTTATATATTATGACTTAATAATTTCATTAATTACATTTAATCCATCATCTACTCTGAATAAACCAAAATCAAAACATCTCTATTGTGTTTTTGAAAAAAAATACAACCATTGAAGTAAAGTATTGTTAAAATATTCTAAATTAAGTTAATTCATTTTTTTTGCTTTTATTGAATAATTGGTTTTCTTGTTTTATTTTTTATTTGTTTGTTGTTGTGGTGTTATTATTAACATCATATTAACATTACATAATATTTTTACATTATTGTTTGAATATATTTCAAATGATAAAAATGAAAATATTATTATTTATAACATTACATAAAAACGATACAAAACAATTAAAAATAAATTGAATCACAACATTTTTATTTGATTTTGTAAGTTATCGTGTTCTAGATTATTTAGACATCATTCTTATTTTTATTTCTTTACACCCTTTCTTTGTTTAAACAAAAACCATATATTCATTATTTCATTAATAAACATGGGAGATTGGTATGTCAAAGGTTCAAATCTTGAAGGAGAACACGGATTAGTTGAACAAAGAAATTGTCCACAAGGAAGACCTTTTTGCCATCAACTTATTGATGAATGTATTAGAGAAGGAAGAACTTTACATGTTCATCAACAGGATTGGCAGATAAACTCCTTCACTTATGAGAAACTCTAAACATTCTCTAATTTACTTTTATCTTTTTTATTTTATTCTTTCTTATTTTCTTTTCTATTCTATTTTTCTTATATAAAAATTATTTGTTTATATTGAATAACTTAACTTCTCATTCTATTATTTTATTTATTACATTTTATTTTTATTTCATTTCTCAACTTCATCACTAAACAATAAAATCAAAATAATGAAAAGATAAATTTAATATCGAATGATGTTTATCATATAATTTATAAATAAATATATCGCATAACATGATAGAGGGTAATGTAAATTAATAAAATAATCGGTTTGATTTATTCTTTTATTTCTATTTTAAAATAATAACGATATGAAAATAAAATATGAATAAAGTTTCAAATATGTGTAAAATAATAAAAGGGGTATAAAATAGAAAACAGGAAAGAGGTAATAAATACGATAAATATGAATAATGTGAAATAAAAAGAAAACGATAACTTGATAAATCAGAACAAATGCTTACAAAACACTCTAATACAGAAAGAATGAAAAGAAGTGCAGAAATAGCTTATCTCAAAGAACATTATCCACAAAATTTAGTTCGATTTCATAAAATAGGTGTAAAACTTCAAAACGCACCAGAAAAAGAAAATGAAGTTGTTGTTGAACATGATGTACATTTTCAAATTGATGGAAAAGAATATCTTGTTTTTTTTAATAACCATTTAAAGGAAATAAATACAGTTTTAAATCGTTGGTTAGAAAATGAATTTTCAGAACATTACATTATTATGCCAGATATTGCTAAAATGTTAGTTAAATAAATTGGGATGTATATTTGCAAGAGCTTTATCTTCAAAAGCAAAAGAAGATGAAGATAGAATTTATCGACTAGCATATCATGTTTATAAAACAAAAGAATTAATTGAAAAATATGGAAGTGAAATACAATCAGGTAAAATATGTGCTATATGTATTGAAAAGAATTTCAATGGGAAGAGTGAATGTATGACAGATTGTGATAATGAATTTTATCAAAAATTAGAATCAAAATTATTTGAAATAATGTCATCTTACGAAAAAAGTAAAGATGAAAAATTGAATGATTTAAATAGATTTTTGTATGGGTGTGAGAAAAAAATTCAACCAACAGTAGATGAAATTAGAAGAATGTGTTTTTGTTTTGTAATTAATAGAGTGAATTATTATCTTACAAGAGAAGAAGAATTATTAAGCGACAAATCATATGAAGAATTAAAAACAATGACAAATCTTAGGAAAAGATTGAATCAGCTTGCTATTAAATACAAACATTTGTATTTAACAAATACACAAATTCTTCTTGGAATTACAATAAGTCGATGTAAAATTCTTGTTGATAATAGAAAATGTAAAACAATATTTATTGAAAGTTCAAATGTCAGAGAGTTTTATAAAAAGATTAATAAAAGGTTAGATGCAGAAGTACAGATTCTTACAAACAAATATTCATTCAGTAAATTCACATTAGAAAAGATTATAAAAACAGCACAGAATTTAAACCTAGATAACAATCAAGATTTAATAGATAAACTGAAAAAAGAAATTAATGAAAAAAAAGAAGAAAGAGAAAAGTTATTGGGAAACGCAGCAACTGAAGTTGGAAAAGTAATCATAGAGAAAGTAGAATCTATAACAGATATTGCTGTTTCAATTTATAATATTGGTTCATTGATACAGCAATTTAAAATAAAAGATATAATAGATTATATGTTTACACAAAATAAAATAGAAAATACAAATGAACAACAAAAAGATGTTAAAAAAGAGAATACTAATCCACCAAAACCTGAAACTAATAGTAAAGAAAATAAAGAAATAATTCAATCATCTAATACAAACAAACAAATTAATTCATTACATTCACTTGCATTAAATAATACACCACTTGGAATAGCATTAAAAGCTATCAAACCTACTCCAGAACAATTAGATAAATTACATTCGTCATTTAATAATTTTGTTGATGCACAAAAATTAACATACGAAATTGAATCATTTAAAGAACAATTAAATGTATTGGAAAATGTTCAAAAATTATCAAATGATTTTATCAACTTACTCAAACTTAAAATAGTATTGCAAAGAGAATGGTTATTTGATGAAATTGATATTAATGAATATTTAGGAATTATTGTTACAGAAGATAATAGATATGTTGTTAATCCACGAACTAATTCTGAACGTAAATCTAATCATAAAATATATGAAATAGAGAAAGTACTAAATTATAATGAAGGAAATGAAGAATATTGATCAAAACAATAATTTGATTTTATTTTAATGTTTTTAATGTTTATATTTTCTATAAATTGAAATAAATAACAATGAAATAATGAACTATAATTATAATTATTTTCACACATTTTGTATTATTTATTTTGAATATATGGTTAATTAAAATTATGTTTTATTCTTTTTTATTTCATTTCAAACAAATATAATATATGAAATATGAAAATATTGTTTCTATCATACAAAGTGTCATTCAGTTAATTTTTTCATTTATTTGTTCGTTATTTCCTCCTTCATTTATTATTTATTTTATTAAACAAAAAATACTTTTTAAATTATTCTTTCTTCAATTAGAGAATTAATGTGATTATTCCAAGTATTATCATGACTAGGTTTACTGTCATTATTGGCATTCCACTTGAACAAATGCCTTTAATACATTTGTTATTGATATAATCAAATTTATATCCTGAATCACAATAAGCTAGTACGCATTTTGAACTCCACTCTCCATTATCTCCACATTCATATCCCCCATGTCCATGTTCGATATTAATTTCGTTATCACATATACTATCTCTTTTAACTAATCTTTTATTCTTTGGATTACATTTTGTTTGATACTTTTCTACTATTTTCTTTGTTTCTTCTGCAAATTCATTTATCTTATAATTTGAAAATTGATAAATATTCACTCTTTCATCAATCATATCAGTTAAAAATTCTCTAGGAATTGTTTCATTGTATTCATAATTATATCTGTATTTTTCTCCAAAACTTATTCTAAGATTATATCCATATACTCCCATCCATATATGAGAGAGTACAGGAACAGATTCAATAACAGCTGTTGGTGACAATCCTACTTCAAATTCTTCATCTTTACCATATGGATCTCCATCAAATCCTAAAAGAATAGCTCCTCCCCATTCTTTTAATCCTTTTGTTACCAATGAACATCCTGAATAACAATATGAATCGGTATAAACTACTATTTCTGTTGGTTTTCTTGGATGTTTCATTAATTTCTTTTTTGGAAAAACTTCAATTGATGGCTGTGTAACTTTATGTTCAACATCACCATATTTAATAATATTTGGTTTTGAGTACCAACCTCCAAGTGGGAATGAATTTATTATGGGAATTATACTTGTCCATTTACTTCTTCTTTGTTGGCATGTTTTTGGATCATATAAATTTACAGCAAATCCTGTTTTTAACATATGCTTTGTGTAGTCTGATTCTCTCAATGAAACTATATAATTAACATCATCATATGGTGATAATATCTTTTCTATCCATTGTGAATAAATACTATATCCTCCTCCATTCTTTGGGAATATGACTTGAATAGGATAATTATTAGAATCAAACAAATCAATACAGTTTGAAATTGTTTCTTCATATGATTTTTCATCTTTTGTATCAAAAGAACGAACTACTAATGTGTTTACACCATTCACAGAAAGTGTACAATGAATATTATTATCTTTTGATGTAAATTTTCTTGTAATTCTATCATTTTCATCGAGTGCTTTCTTTGTATTGATTATATCTTTTGTTTCTTCTTCAGTTAATGGTTTTCTAATTCCTTGTTTTAGTTTTTCATTGCTATTTGATACACTTGCTGTTTCTCTATATATTTTATAATTAACACTCACACTTTCTCCATTTTCCCATGTAATACTTATTGGTGTATTTAAATATTCTTTTGTCAATGGTAAATAACTTAAACCACCTTCAACAAAATAATCTTTTGCTTCTGTAAATTATGCATGTGGACATTTTAATGCTGAATATTTCTTTCCAAATTCACGAATAATATTAAATGGATCTTCTCCATTTATTGTTTTAACTGGTTCATACTCATTTTTTTCTATTTCTTTTGGTGGTTTCACATATCTAGATTTGAAGAAATGCCTTGGAATTAAATACATTTTCTTATCATTATCAATATTTATTGTAAATGGAAGGAAATAACTGAAAAGTGTTAATTCACTATTTTTATTGATGCTAAAATAATTTTTATTTTTTATACTAAAAGCTAAGTGAGAATCTCTTGTTGAAATAATAAGATTATTAATTTCTGAATAAAATTCATACAGACTTGTAGTTTTTGTATTTATTTTATCTAATTTTGAATCAATATCTACTTTCTCATAATAATTATTTGAAAATGATGGTTGTGGTGGATTCTTTAATATGTCTTTAAATACATATGATTCTAAATAGTATTTTAAATCATTAATAATAGCGTTATTTGCACCCTCTGTTGTTTGAATAGATTCAATACATTCAAATGCACTATCAACCGTATCTATGATGTATTTATACTGTTCAAATTCACTACACTGTTTTGATAATGAGGCAGTAATAAATAGAAGAATAATGCAGATCATTTTAATGAATAAACCTTTCTTAGTTTGTGTTTAAATACTCTGTTATCCTGTCATTTATTTTACCCTATTTCTTGATTTAGTATCATTTTATTATTATTTTCATTTAATTCCTCTTTCTTTTTCCTATCGCACTTATTTTTCTTTGTATTAACATTACATTTGATATAGTTTCATGTTTTTGTTCTTAATTTAAATTAAACATCATTCATTCGATAATTTCAAATATAAACTAATTTTAATCATTTTACTGGTATTTAATTTTTTATTTTATCGATTGAAAACCAAGAAATAATTATAAAATAGAATTACATATCAACAATTACCCCCATTTTTATTTATTTGTTGTTATTGTTAAAATTGTAAGAAATACTTTCTAAATAAATATTCAATTCTTAAATTAGAATGATAACAATAATTTTAACGTATTCAATTTTTTATCTCAATTTTGTATTTTCTTTTTCATTTTATCGTTAATGTATAAAATATATTGAACATCAGTGTTTTCATTTATTTAATAAATTTATTCATCTTTTTTGATTTTATCTTTTACAACTTTCTTCTTTTTCTAACAAATTATTGTGATATAATTATTGTTTCTTGTGTGGATTATTTTGGATTATCATTTATATTAATTATATTCTTCTTTAAAATAAAATTGCCATTGAACTTTTACTTTCACTTATTCTTCAAATCATTGTTAATTTGAATTGTATAATATTTTCACTATTCAATGAGTGTTATTTATCAAATGGTTAAATAATACCTTCCAATGAAATATTATAAACCAACATTTCATTTAACTGTTGTTAAAAATAAATAAATTTATTGAATTAAACAGTTTTATTCATCTAAATTCATTCTATATGAATATTTATTTGATAAAGTATACAATAAAGAAATATGAAATGACTGATGATAATAAAACAATGGAAATAAACAAAATACAATGACAATGAATTAATAGAAAATAATAAATATTCATATTCAATTTAATAAAATAGTGAATATAAACAACTTATTTATTGATTATTATTACACAGTTTATTTAATTTGTATATTCATTTGATGTTTTATATTAAAACTAATAATTAATCAAATGTACTTTCAATTCATTTTATATTCATTACTATGAATAATATTAGTTTAGAAATATAAAATAGTGATATATTATTACATTTAGATAGAATGAATATCAAATGATTTACAAACACTACAAAATCATGATAAAAAACTATTAAATACATTTCATCAATGTAATTTATGATAGTATTAACATTAATTGAATATTCCATTCAAATATGATAATATATTTTTATTAATTTCTTATCAATTTATCAATATGTATTTTAATTCACATACTTTAATTAATTCTGTTATTATCTTTTATTTTCTTTCCTTATTTATTTCCTCATTTTTTCATTTTCAATTTTAATTTCATTGTTTGTTATTATTTTATGTTTCTAATACGTATTTCTTTTATTTTTCATTGTAGTTACTCAATTTCTCTTATTCATTTCTCTTTTCTCTATCAATACTTCTTTCTCTAATTATTATTCTCATGAATACTCTAATTTGTTCTATTGTATTTGTTTTCTTTATAAGAATTATGAGTATTGCTCAATGATAATGAATATAACAACATGAACTATGTTAGAAATAAATGAATTTCATCATAATTACAATAAATTAAACTAATATAACAAGAAAATATCTCATTCATTGTTGTTTGACTTTTTATCAATTAAAAAAGATAAGAAAAGAAGAATATAAAGACAATATTCAAATATTGAATTTCAAATTAAAAGAATATAGAAAATACAAAGAAGAGTCGATAATAAAATATTGATAGAATAAAATAATGTTTATGTATTTTAATGACATTAATGACTGTATTAATTTAGAATTTGGAGTTGGAATATTTTCAATGAAATATGAATCACTTTCATTTTATTTCCTTTCATTTTATTCATTATGCAAGAAGATTGTATCGTATAATTGAAATGTTTAATAATTGATGAATATTTAAATACATAATATAATGTTAATTATTCAACATGTTTAAACATACCAAATCATGAAATATAAATATGAAATACAATATTAATAGAAGTTAAATTACTTGAAATTTGTTATTTTACATATTGTTATTCATTAACAACAATTAATCTTCATTCATCTATTATTGAAATAGACATAATTCCATTCATTAATTTAACTCATTAAAATAAATTAA